ACGTTATCTTTAAACTTTAAATAACATTTTACAATTTCTTTGATTGACTCTATTTTCAACGATATATCCAAGTGCGTAGGTTCATCTGCACAACAAACTTGTCGAGACAAGTGGATGTGAAAAAGAACGAATATATTGAAAATAATTGGAATCGAATTAATTCGTTGCTTCGATTTCATTAATATGATGGCGAAAAAAACATTAGAGGTATTAAATTTACACTCGAAATGTAAAATGCATCCTACTTTTGATCTCACTTTCTCTGGTCTAATACGCGTAAAATATATATCGAAAATATAATGGCAAATTCAATCGATCATGGAAGTATCAAACAGTTGTTGATGTAATCTAAGCACGAGACAATACTTGAATTGTAAAGCGTTTAGTATCACAGTGCTCAACAGGATATTGTGCTCCAACAATAAGGATCGGAGGAGGAGATGTATTCTATCGTTCTATTCATCTTGATGAATCCGTTTTCGTTCTGTCAACAGCCCTATTATTTCGAATACACGTATACTTTGCTAACCGCGTTACCTTACGTTACCAGTGATATTTCTAACAATTGGGATATTTATCGCAAAGCATCGATTTAATAAAAAATTGAAACCGAGTACGAAGCGATACCAAATATTTTTCTTCATCGCTCTTTGAAATCTGTTATTAAACACAGAATAATCTTTTTTCTTTCTTTTTTTTTTTTTTCACGTTGGATGGAACATTATCATTTCTAGGACTGATGGAGATTCGCCAAGTTTAATTTGGCCGCACTCCAACTATAATTCTCCCCGAGAAAGTGATGATGTTATCTTGAGACATCGATCTTGATAAATTCATATCTCGATAAAAATAGAAATTTTTGGTTTCTAAAAAAGAAAATTACTTCCGTTTCACTCTGAGATCACAAAACCTTCTTCCTACTGTGGAACAATTAATAATAATAATTATACGCTGTTTGTCATCATCGATTTAGAAGAACAAAAAGATTAAAATTAACAACGTAAATGTACAACATACGAATATCGTGTTTTAACTTTCAATTTTGTTTCAAATGGAAACTGATATTGTTTCGACGAATTGTATGGATATAGAAGTGAATAGCCAGATGGTGGAGATCGTGTCAAGAGAAGTTTGCGGTCTATGTCGCACAAAATTGCATCATGCCCCTACAAAGGATCAGATGTGTCGAAACGTCAGCCGGGAAACGATTTTGATCAGTGCCGATCAAATTTGATTTACCTTTGTCCCGTGATACGACGGCACATTGGATAAAATGCGTTTCGAAATGGATTCCTTTCCTCTCATCGATCATCGATCATGTAATTTCCAATTTTAATCGATTCTAATATCATCAACAATATCATCAACAATATCATCACTGAGATAAACATAATAATAATACGAAATATCTATAAGGTGAAAGTAGCGATTCTTTTTCGTTTACAAGGAAAGAAATCAAGGGAAATTGGGAAGATTAGGTTATGGTAAGGATGATAAAGATCATTCGAGGATCGTGCGAAGAGATCGGTCGTGTCAAGATCGTGAAGGAGTCTGCACAAAGGTGAAGAGGTATTTATCGAGAAAGTAAAAAATTTTGGCAGAAAATTTGTATCCAAATATTCGTTTTTACCGGTTCGGGTCAAGGGGAATTCAAAAGTTTTTCGTAGATCGATAAGATGACAAGGATGAAATATTTCTGTATGTATATATATATATACTTCTTGGGGCTTTTTCCTCCATTTTCCAATCATTTCCGATGGAAGTTTCGAATGCTTTCAATGCAATTGCCTGCATTCCCTCAAAATTTATGTCTCATAATCAAATATATATATATATATAGGGCATATTGTGCGAAGAAGTTTTATTTCAACGAGTCAAGTAGAATGAAAAATACGATATATAATTCGCTTTCGTTTCGAGATTTTATTTCTATATTTATGATATAACATTACATAAAATGATGAGTACACTCGATATCGAGTACAGTGGATTAATGAAAGTACAGAGGTATAAACCGATATCATTTTCGATCGATACGATAATAAATATCAGCTACGATATATTTGTCAAACGGAACTTCACATTAATGATATGAAATAAAAATTAAAAATAGCTCGAACGAATCTTCTATTACTCGTGATTATCGTTTATTAATATCGTAATAATTCCGTCGTATGGATTTAATTGAATTTAATTTAATTCGTTGTTTTGTCAAAATTTTTCATCTATCTCGAAACGATTGAATTCGTGTCATTATCTTCTTTAGAAAAAAAAAAAAAAAAATATCTCACGTGTCATTTAATGAAACGTGACCTTTACCCGACCTTAATGTCTCCACTTAACAATTTTGCCGGCTACGACTTGTGATATTCCACTCCGTTTCCTGAAATCTCTTAAAAATATTTTCCGCTGTCCAATTTATTTTCTTCTTTTTTTTTTTTTTTCTCTTCCCAAATATAATCGATTAAAAGCATTTCCTTCAATTTCGTAACTCGAAATTACGAAGAGACACAAGCGTATATGAAATATTAAAAATAAATAACATATCTTTGTAAATCTTCACGTACCTTTACGTACGTTTAAATAATAAGTATTAATATACCCGTGCAGCGCACTTGTAGCGAAATTGTACAACGAACACGTTACGATATACACGAGTGCATTAAACTAAATATAGAAGAGCTTTTGAAAATTACACATGCTCTCGTATGCTCGCTCCGGGCAATTCCACCACTTCTGTATTTCTTGCACTTCTTATATCCCTCTTCAAACAAGTTACATATAATTAAAGCGATACGCGAGACACCCAATTTTTATTTAACAATTCGAAATAGGTTCGAAGGTAGCGAAAATATTACAGAAAGATTAATTTGATGTTACGTGAAATTAAAAAAAAAAAAAACGTATTTTAAGTAATTTATTTTACGTAAATTACGCGATTTTAAATTACGTTTTTTGATAAAAAAATAAAAAAAAAGGCAAATAGCAATGGTGGAACGAGATTTTCGGATGTTTGGAAATTTTAACCCCTCTGAATTCCCGGGACGGATCGAAACGTTTGTAATTGTACACGATAATGGTCCAAGTCTGATTGATAGTGGGGATTCTATTCTAGTTTTTTTTTATCGTTTAAAAAGAAACTAGGATTTTCGGTTCTACCACGATTGTCCTGGTATTATCCCAACGATGTAAAACCGTTTGCCAAATACCGCATCGTTTATGTTTGTTTCGAAATGCATTTTAGCTTCGGATAAATGGGCAATGTTTGAAAATAGTAAATAAAAACAAACAAAGGATTCTATTTCTAAATTTCCTCTCTGTTTTTCCCTCTGCTTTCGTCCAAAATTTTTAACCTTTCGATCCATCGATATTTCTATTTTCTAGTTTCTTTTTTTAAATACTAGATTTTTAATCATTTTTTCTTTGACTTTTGAATGATTCCTAAACTTTCCAAAACTTCAATTTTCTCTCAATTACAATTTTAACTTTGTGGATTTCGATTCTTTGGTTTCCAATTCGCGTATCCAATATTTTTTATTAATTCATCCTTGCCACAGAAAATTTTTATATCGATCAAAATGCTTTCGAAGAATTAAAAAGCATTAAAAAGATTAATTGATTAAGAAATTTGTATCGATATATTTTAACATCGATATATTATTTTCTTAGAATGTATACCGAAACGATTTTCATCATTTTCTTTCCATTACTATCTCAATCGTAAATTATACTCAACCCGCATCTCACAACCGGGCTATTTACGATCTTAAGTTTGCAATAAATCTTGAGACGCGATTGAGAACGAATCTCAAAGAGTTGGACCACGCAGAGCGCGAGTGAAATCTTGAAAAATATCTCTGTTTTGGCTTGGTGCGATTTACAGGAAATTCTTAAATGATATGCATATTTCGAGAAAATTTTTACCGTATAATGTTTTTTCAAATATTATTTTACCAAACTGAGCTGACGACTGAAGATATTTGAACATCGAGGAAGATCAAAAGACAAGAAGAGGAGCAAATTAAACGCAAATAACGCGATTTCGATCAACACGATATCAAATATAAGCATTGGAATCGTATACTGGAGGATATCCGGTATTTATTTTTGGAAAAAAGAAAAAAAAAAGTTTCGTTCAAAAAATTTCCACGAGAATGATATAAAAGCTAATATATATATATATATATACATATATCAGTCTGTTTAGATAACTGGATATTTGCACGAAAATCGTTCAATATGTATGCATACGTATACATACATACATTCATATTAGTTGACAGAGATCACTCGTTTATGTATATATATATACATATATATATGTATGTATATATATATATTATATATAAATGTTGCAAGTTTCATAACGTTATCGTGGTTCACAGAATGTATTTGACTTGAACCGCATTTCATATTCATATTCATATTCTCGCGAGAATCACTTTACTTTTTTCCGAAATACATCGTTTCACGGTTTTCCCCTTCTTTTTCTTCTTAAACAATTCGATTTTTAAATTTCGAATCTATCTATAGATTTTTCAGATCGTTAATTTTATCCACCGTAATTTAATAACTTGTAACTTGTGCACTAATATTTTTACGCACTCGTTTATGTAAAAATAATAAGTTTATCATAATGTTATAAATAATAATGTTATAAATAAAATTATTTATATATAGAGAAACAAGTACAAGTACACGTGCAGCTTAAATTTCATCGTGAATATTACGCGAAAAATTATGATTCGTATTACTCGAAGAAGGTATCAACGCTCGTTTCTTACTTACTTACGTATCGCTCGCCGCATCGGCACATATAAGCCCTTAGAGAGAAAATGCAAGACGTTATTAAATTTACGTAAGATATTTAAGATGCTTTTATCGAGACACGAGATAACGAGAGAGTAAAATGTTAAAGCGTTATTTTACAATATTCATTTTAAATTTTGAACGATATTAAGTTAAGTGTACATTCATACGGTATCTTTTGTTTTGTGCAGAATGCCGACGATTCATCGACTGGTGAGAATGCTTCGATTCGGTTCCGGCTCGTGAGGTACAAAGAGGACTGGCCAACTTAAGGTTTGATGTCTTGAAAACCTGCCTTGGCTATATATATTGGAAACAAGAGAAGGGCAAAAAAGATATAGATCTTTTGGAAAACAAGGCAGACATTCTTCGACCAACGGATCCAGGTATCGAAACGATTTAACGTTTTCCGGATGTGGGTAGTAAAAATGATCAAAAATCAACATATCGTCAATTCCCCCATTGCATTCTCCATTCTCATTACGTAAAGCCGGGAAATACGTGACTTTTGATTATTCGTCCTACCATGTTACGTGATCTCGTGGAGCTATTAACAAATGTTACAATTTAAGAAAAAAATATTAAAAATATTAGAAAAGATTTTTTTTAAAACATAAACATTTAATATATACCGTTTATAATATATTTATACCTCTTTTCTGCATAATTTTCTTCGAAGTGAAAATTCTAGTATACAACAACCGTCCTTACAATTTTTCAATTTTAACAAACTTAAGGTTGAAATATTTATCAAAAGAAAATCATCATTTGCAGGATTTAACATATATCATTTATTATTTTCTGTATAATTTCAACTTCAAAACGAAAATTTTGGAATATAACAAAATTTTTCAATTTTATAAAAATATTTATAAAAATATTAAAAAATCATTGCAAAAAATATTTTTCAAACGTACCCTTTAGCATATACCATTTACTTTTTTCTGTATAATTTCCTTCAAAATGAAAATTTTGGAATATAACAAGCCTCCTTATAATTTTCCAATTTTATAAAAATATTTATAAAAATATTAAAAAATCATTGCAAAAAAGATATTTTTAAAACGTACACTTTAACATATACCATTTACTCTTTTCTATATAATTTCCTTCAAAATGAAAATTTTTGAGTACAACAAGCCTCCTTACAATTTTAACAAACTTAAGCTTCAAATATTTATGTTTATCAAAAGAAATTCATCATTTGAACGATTTTACCGTTTTGTTAAAAATAATGCGTTAAAAATATATTCGTAAATTATTTGAACGGTTGATGAGCATCGTAAATACAATCTCGATCGGAAAAGCAATGATTTATACGATTTTGATAAATATATATATATATATATATCTACTCGATTCGAAATGCAATGTGAAACATTGAAATCCTATTCCCGCTAGAATACTGTCAACTACATTATCATCGTAGAGAATACGTGACTTGTGAGGATTTGGCGAATGATAATGCCTGTTACGTGCTCTCGCGGAACAGACTTCGCATCCAGTCGCTTTGATACTTCTGCCGGGATGCGAAATTAGTTTCTGTTTCAAACTCCGCTCAAACGATTGACGAGATGAAAAGATTCATGCGAACGCGTCGAATGCGCCTGTTTTTCATCGAGTTCTCTCCTCTCTAATTTTTTTTTATCCCATCCTCGATATCGTAACGCGAGAACATAAATGACGGGGAAGAGAAATATATTTAGACATATCGGGAGGAAGGATCGAACGCGATCATTTTTGTGAACTGGGTGTGAAAACGACGTGGAAAACGACGAGCGAAAATAGAGGAGAATAGGAAAATTTCGCTATGAAAGGTAAACGTTTTCCATTTTTGATTTATTATTATCTCGTATATATATATATATATATATATTTCGAAATTTGTGTGCACCATTTCGAATATTTTTGTATCAGAATAGCTATCGGGATACGATATTTCACGATATTTCTTCCGTTTCGATGTACCGATATTTGGAACTTGGCATCGTCGTTTGATGTCAAGTTTACGATTGATTTTGTGACCCGTTCCATCAACAGTGAGTAGATATAACTTAATGGAAAGTTGTGAAATCGTTATATTACTTGCTCGAATATTAATATAATTTTGTTGGTGCAAGTATTGGAGAGAAGTGATACGTAGATCGAATAAAACAAGTTTAAAAAAATATATATATATATATAAATTTATTAGAAAGATTGTACGTCTGAGTATCTCTCTAAACGAAAATTCTTTACCGCGATAATATATCTTTCGAGGCGAAAATTTCTCTCTTATGATCCATGAACTCCCATTACCCAAATATCTCGAACTATCCCAACACTCTGTTATTCGAACATGTTCTATTACAGAGGAGGCGGTATACGTAGCTACATAATATACGTAGCTACATAATTCAGTTTAAATTTAACAGTGGACCCCATTTACATAACGTTCTAACATTATCGATACACGAACGCATTCCACCAACCGTAACAATTAAGTACGATTGTTCTTCCAGGCTGATTCTCCAAACTCTCTAAAATTGTACCGATTATTTAATTTCGATTGAAATAAAAGAGCGAGACAGACTCTCACCAGACGATTGAAAAAATTTTCAAACTATCTATAAATACATATATATATATATTTTCTTTTTAAATAAAATAAACAAGTTTCTTCGAGTCTCTCCATTATATATATATATTATGTAGGTTATATAGATTATCCGAAGAAGCTTGACTTTCGTTTAATCGAAAAGTGGGTGGTGTACTCGTTCTCCGAGTCTTCGCACCAGATGGTCGTAAAGTTGAATCGCCTAGCCACGGACTTCCTGATAAAACCGGAAGATGTATCTCGGAAAATGGAGGCACCTGCGCCGTCCAAGTTACCCTTGAAACTTAGGAGGATTAACCCTCTGGCAACGACCGCACTCTTACGAGTAATGCGCTATTCAAAAATGCGCTTGAAAAGGATTTCGTCCAGGAATTTCGCCGACTATTCGTAAGAATTCGTAACAATTTCGATGTAATAGAAAGGGGTAGAATCGCGTGGAAAACGTTTCTTCGAAGATATAGAAGAATTATTTGAAGTTGATTCTGAATTGAAATTAGATCAAAAGTGGAATAGATGTTTGATCGTTGAAAGTTATTAAAGTTCGAATAAATAATTTTTAAAGGATTTCGCCAACTATTCGTAATCAAATTCGACGTAATAGAAAGGCTGACTCTGATTCGAAATCAGATCAAAAGCAGAATGGAATAGATGTTTGATCGTTGAAAGTTATTGAAGTTCGAATAAATAATTTTTAAAGGATCTTTCAGGAATTTTGCCGATTATTCGTAAGAATTCACAACAATTTGGACGTAATAGAAAGGAAAAGAATTGCATAGAAAATTCTTCGAAGACATAGAGAATTATTTGAAGTTGACTCTGATTCGAAATCAAATCAAAAGTAGAATGGAATAGATGTTTGATCGTTAAAAATTATTAAAGTTCGAACAAATAATTTTTTAAAGGATTTTTTAAAGGATTTCGTCGAGGAATTTCGCCGATTATTCGTAAGTATTCACAATTTGATGTAATAGAAAGGAAAAGAATTGCATAGAAAATTTCTTCGAAGACATAGAGAATTATTTGAAGCTGATTTCAAATCAGATCAGAAGTAGAATATTTGATCGTTGGAAATTATTAAAGTTCGAATAAATAATTTTTAAAGGATTTCGCCGACTATTCGTAAGAATTCGTAACAATTTCAACGTAATAAAAGGAAAAGAATCTCTCGTAGAAAGCGAAGTTTCAAAGAATAGACATTTGAAGCTGACATCAGATTGAAATCAGATAAGAAGTGAAGAATGAAATAGATGTTTGATCGTTGGAAGTTATTAAAATTCGAATAAATAATTTTTGAATATTTTGCTTGTTTGGTTATTTTATCAATTGATTCCACGAACGAGCGAATTTTCTAACGTTAAAAAAAGATATATATATATAAAACACACGAATAAACGAATGATTATTAACTAGCGCAATCCGCGTAGAACATGGAAATGGGAGAAGAATAGAAAAAAAAATGGACGAATTCTGCCAGTATCCGATGGTGCATCTTCGCCTCGGTCCTAACAAGCAGAAGTTGAGTGGATGACCCAAATCCTGAAACAGCTCGTTCGTAATTAGCAATAAAAATGAGGGGAAAAAAAGTAGAGCGACTGCCAGGGGACAGGAAACGGGGATGCAAGACAAGAAGAGATTCTTGCTACGCTAAACGAGGAATAAGTAGCGTGTTGTTTACGGAGGGAAAACTAGAATAGTTGAGGTAAGAAAATGTCCTAAAATGTGTTAAGCAGGAAGCAATTCACAAAATTTTATTGGAAAACTTAAAATGTTAAATTAATATATATGTGATGACAAAGTGCTAATATTACAAGCATTGCCAATATTACAAGCTATAATTTACACAAGTAAATTATATTTGTTCGTTAATTATTTTTCAGTCGATAATTATTTCACTCATCGATAACAGTTTGATATTGTACTGTAACTTCATCTTTTAGCACCAAAAGGTGTTAAATTTCTTGCATCGTATCGAACTTTATCGTATTAACTTGTATCGTATTGAACTTTAGCGAAAATTCCTGCAAATATTATAAAATTCCATTAGTTATGAGATTCATTCAGATCATTCGTGCTTGCTTTTGTTTCTCTCTTTCTCGAAACTTTGTTAACAAAAATTATTCCTTGTTGAATCTCTCTCTGTGCACACATATAAATAATTCGTTTTTTAATGATATGAAAAAAGAAATGATAAATTAGAAAAAAAAAGTAGACGAAAAATTGAATTTTACATTTAAGAAAGACAAATAATCCGTGGTATATGACGCGTGTTACGTATACCGTGCAACACATTATGCACAGTTTTTAACGTTTATTATGGAAATAGTCCGTTACTCGATGCCCTTAATTTTCCATACTAATTGATACAACGGATGGATGAAAGGTTAGTTCAAAATTATTCGCGACGCTTTTATATCCTTCTTGATTAATGACTCTTTGAAAAAGTAGCCAAGTAACTTACCATCGTATATCTCGTCGTAACGTAATAAACGAGGAGGAGGAACATCGAAACACGTTTCTCGAGTTTTTACGACAATTTTACGATATTCCTCAGATTACGCGGAATGTTATCGTACATTTCAACTATTCGAATTACTCTATTATTGGGCAATAAGGATCGAATAAAATAAATATTTTACGCGAGAAACGCAGAATCGTTTCGCCGAGTCGCGATCATTTTCCACGCAGAACGAAATTTTTATGCGAAATTTTGCGGACGAAATCGCGAACAGTGGTGCAATTTTTGTCCGCGCGTTAAAGATCCGCGGACAAAATTATTTTGTG